AAAAAAAAAAAAAAAAAAAAAAAATGAAACGCACTCTCTCGATCTCCGGGATGTTGAATTCCAGGACATTGAAGTCGTCCAAGTTCAAAAGGCTTTTCCATTTTTTGAAAATTTCATCCCGCTTTTGCTCCGATTCTGAGCCAAGAAACGTTACGAACGCAGCCGATAAAAGAGATCCTTTTTCGAGCTGCAATTCTGGATATTTCTTGATGCATAGAGGAAAAAAATTACTATTTACAACACGTTCAAGTCAGATTATAAGGTTAAAATTATTTCTGGAAAAATTACACGATCAAGCTCCTTCTGAAGGTAGTCAATTTGTTCCTGCCAGCGCGAGTACTCGCCGCTCAGTCGATCCACCAAAGTTGCGGCATTCTTTATTGTTTCCTGAAGCTGCGCCTAGAGGATTATCCCTCAATAGATGATTTGCAACACACCGAGTAAATTTAAGCAGCAGACGGGATTGTCTTTCAACTACAAAAATTAAAGAAAATAGTGGCACAATAAAGTGGAAATGTTAACCCACGTGAAACAATTCTTGCAGCTTCGGCCTGACCTCAGTATCGAACCAGCTGTGTAAATGACCTTCCTAGAACGATCTTGATGTCTAAACATATGAACCAATTTTTAAGCTTGCCTCTTCCTTATCAAGGTCAATCTTTATTTGCGTTGCTTCTTTCATTAGGCTTTCAAAATTTTGCTTCAGTTCTGCAACTCGCTCGTCAACAGTCTCCAGGCCTTTCGACAACTTTTCCATCTGTTTCTCGGCTTTGTTTAGATTCCTGCAAATTGCTGCATTCACGGTCGCCTCAGGAGCAAAAATGTCAAACTTGTGCTGGCTGAGTTTAGTGCTGCGTTTTATTTCGTTTTCTGAGGTACAGTATCATTATTAAGGGCGCTATGTTCACTCACCTGATCAGGGTACTTTTCTCTTCCTCAAGTGGAGCAACACGTCCCACAATCGTCGAGTAGTCCAAATTTGCTCGAACCCAGGCAGCCAGAGGAGCCGCTGCTGCTGATGCTCGTTTTGCATTCTACAAAACACCAAGTGTGTTTCAGTGAGTTTACAGGTGAGTTTGTTTCAGTGAGTTTTTTCTGCTCCACATTTTTCAAGATTACTCTTCCAGAAAAAAAAAAACAAAAATAAAAATGACTTTTTTGCAAATAAAGTGAATGCATACTTTTGGATTGAAGGACGACTCCTTGCTTTTTATAAGAGCAGCTACTTTTTTGTTCACATCAGGTGGAATTTTTCGTGCATCAAAATTGATTATTTCTTCTTTTACACTTGCTTTGGCCAGAAATCTGGAAGCAAAAAACAAGGAATGCAACGACTGAAGACTGACAACATGATCTTCATCAAAATCCCCAACTGTGTGTTTTACTGTGGCAGAAGGTGCTAGCAAACTAGCAACCTTATATTCCCGGCTCTGACATTCAACATTTTTGGGACAAAGCGAAGCATTTCATCCAGGCACTGTTTTACGGACAGCAACTCATTAGAGATCAGATTTCGGAAAGATTGAAGCAGTCAGATGAAGCACAGTTAAAAGCAACCTGCTTTAATTTTTATGCGTTTCTGCTGTGCAGCGCTGTAGCAGCGCTATAGCGCTGCTACAGCCAGCAAAAACGCATATTGTCGAGAG